TACTCAAAGTGGAGTCCAAGGTTCTGATACTGGAATTATTGTTTTACCCATATACTTCAGGGATAATAAAACAGGGGAATGTTTGGTGATTCATTTCAAGTGTCCTGCGGCAAAGGCTACCAAATTCTTCTCTCTGGAGGCAAATGTTACTACAAACTCATGTAGGTTCCTCTTTCACGTCATTTGAGGAAGATATGTTGTTGTGAATCATTCTTTTAGACTGCGCAGGAAGCTTAGGACTGATTTTCATTTCTTCTCTGACTTTGTGCTGTCTTGGCACATGTAATTGAAAGAAAGAGGTTTAGAGGTTGGATGGATTTGTTCATTAGGAGGAAAACATTTTGTTGTCATCATTCTTTTTGTACCTTTGTAGAACAATATACACTGCAATTGAATGAAGGTTTTACAAATATCTGTTCTCTTCAGAGCTTTTGGTTGCCTAGTCGGAGCTTTACAAATTTCTATACCATGCCCCCTGTAATTTTCTTTGGTCTTTCTTCCATTGTTCCATTAATAATAGGAAACAAATATTGACTTGGCTGCAATGCTGCTGTTTGGTATGCTTTAGTCACAAACAAAACTTCTTGTGACATATTGGAGACCACTGGCTCTGAAATTGTCAAAGAAGGGATGTTCATTCACCCTTTTCAACTCCAGCCTTGATCACTCCCAGGTGTGTAATTACATACTTTTCCGGTACTGCCGTGCTTGTGTTTTTCAGTTGGCCACGGTGCATTACCTTCTACTTCTGTCCCTTTTATTTTTTTGGGTCTGCGTTTAATTTGGAGTCCCCCATTAAATTGTGCTAAAACCAAAAGTAAATAAATTATATTGGGCCTGCTTTATTTGGGTATTTTTTTAGGATTTAGTTGGTCTCAATTTTTTAATTGTTTAAAGATAATTCCTCCCTACTTTTTTTCTTAAAGAAAGTTGCATTTTTGAAAGAAACCGTCCTCAAAGGATGTTTTTCTTCTGCGTGGACCTCAAAGATGTTGAGAAGCAACGTAGAAATCTCAACTTCTGATGTTTTCTAAGGTTGAGAGGAGGTCTTAAACTCCTAATTATTTTCATATAGGTTCAATGAAAGCCCACTGAGTCATTGACTAATTCGGATTTAAGTCGGGTAGGACTCAATGGACGGCAAAACTTTCCCTCACGAGTTTTAACAGAATTGCATTACCAGGGCTTGAAACCAAGATCTCTGGTTAAGTTGGAAGAGTCTCCTATCAACTCATCTACCCGCTTGTAGATACCAAAGAAGTATTCTAAGTGACTGTTTCAGCTCATTTTTATTTATTTATTTATTTATTTATTTTGCCTTTGGTAGAATTTTGAATTGGAAATTAAACTGTGGCATTTTAAGTATGTTTTAGGTTGGGTATTTTAAGTAACTCTTGGCAAATGAATGTGGCTGTGACGAGCAAGTAGACATTGTTATCTTGCCTAAGTGGTAATGAGTTCATGAAGCGATTGATTAGGTGCCTTGAGGATTATAATAAGTATCTAAGTGGCTCTGAATACTGCAGTGAATAAGTAAAAATTATAATCTTTGCCCACATATTAGGGCATTTTTATTTTTTGCTTGATCTACTAAAGTTGAGGAAAATGGATAAAAGCCTATTTTTATAGAGATTAATTTTTATATATAGTTATTTATCTGAAAAATCATCAGAGAAGTGAAGGTGCTAAACATCCCAATCACCCCAATTGTTTCATGCTAAAAAATGGCAAATAGGATTGTGTAGTATTGAATGAGTATAAACGGCATATAAGCATGACATATAATTAATTTTAGATTTTATTTAATTCAAAAAATTAAATGATCAAATAAGTCAAAAATCTCACTCAAATATTAATTCCTTTGTCATATAAGCATGACATGACAATATTTTGCCATCCAAGCAGCCAAGTATAAACGGCAGTTAAGCCATGCGAGCAAGTCCAAACGGCAGTTAAGTTGGCGTGAGAAGATGGGCTTAATTGCTTTGATAGCAGAGTTTAAGGGTTTATATACATCATTTAAAGTCTAGGGGCTTAAAAGCGATTCTGGAGTTAGTTCAGGGGCTTAACTTATGGTTTTGCCTAATTATAATAGGCCTTAGTTATACTGAACGCGGTCCCTTCTTGCCCCTGTTCTGCTTCTGCCTCTGCCTCTGCCACTGCCCCTTTGCCCCCCGTTTCACCTCTTAACTCATGCGTCAGAAAGCCTGCAATGGTCCTCATTTATCATATTCTGATCTTCGTCTCAAATTCCAAAAAAAAAAAAAAAAAAAAAAAAAAGAAATCAATCAAGGTACTCGGATCCTACCCGCTAACTACATAATCTAATATATCTCACCAACTTCCTTGGCAAAGATTCTTCCTT